CTGTGCTGCGGTAAGAAAGCGAGAGCAACAACCTGTTGTGAGGGAGTGAGAGGAACGAGGCCCTGTGCTACGATGCGGTGAGAAAAGGCCATGTAGGTGAAAAGAAAACAGGTAACAATCATACAACCTTACCATGTTAGGCTTTTTTTTCTTTCTTGTCTCAAAAAAAAGGTTTTTTTCTTTCAAGAAAATGAGAAACGAGCAACTTATGCGATGAGATAAGGATGTTATGCAGGCCTAAGAATCATTTTTAGATAATAGACTAACAAATTAGAAACTGAAGCTAATTTTTTTCCAGATAAAAGGCGCTTGCCTATCTAAACATAAGCTTTACGGTTTATTACACCAAAGAGATAACCAAGAATAAGTCTAAATTATTACAAGACCCATAGGACCGAATCATAGTGACGCGACGCACATGGAGGCTAACAGCTACTAAGAAGTATTCCTCAAAGAAGAAACTACTAAGAAGCGGTATAAAGCACAACTAAGCAAGCAAGACGCAAGAATCGAAGGTGGCTCCGACACCACTTCACGGTGAGGATGGCTCGCTAGCCAATGTTGTTTCGTCATAATGTGTTGCGAAGGCTCCAACACTTGTCCGGGAGGGTGTTGATCAAGCAGCCAAGATGAGGTCGGTCCCGCAGTCGTCCAAGCGGTTTCCAAAGTTGCAGTAGAATCACAATTTTGTACACACGGTCAACCGAGTGTTTTATTTTATAGATCGTCTCTCTATTAAAGCTTTGTTGCAGGTCGTCCACAAGGTCTAAGCAATCGCCGCAAAACCAATCCAAACTATTCATCTATCTCGTCCATGGGTCCCCATAAGCTGGGCCGGCCCTGGTGTATGGCTAGAGAGGCAATGGCCCAAGAAGCAGGCCTAGGGGCCCATGATCTGATGATATAGCCCGGCAAATAAAATGGTTAGGGGAAAAAGAACGATGTGGGCCGAATTCCCTTAGCCTGATTTCTAGTGATACGCGAAGCACCCAGTGACTCAAAAAAAGTGAAGCACCCATGTTCTCACCACGTAGCCCCCGTCCCGGTGATTCTTTTAGCATCGTTGGTGGGTGTGTGGAGGTGTGTCTCCGGTGGATCTGTCTTTGGTGGATCTTCTCGGATCTGGTCGTCATTCGTCTATATTCGTGTGTTTTCAGGTTGGATCCTTCCGATCTAAACTACTCTTCATCCATGGCGGTTGTTGTTCTAGTGCACTTGTCCTATGAGGTCTTAACACGACGACTTCCCGTCTATCTACTAAAACAAGTTTCGCCCGACTCCAAAAAGGGAGGGGCGATGACGACGACACGCCTTTTGCTCGCTTCAAGGCTTGTAGTCGTCACTAGGTGGTCTACGTATCTGGATGTAATTTTTATTATTTCTGGTGTTTGTTGTACTACCAAGATTGATGAATAGATCGAAGCTTTCTTGCAAAAAAAAGATTAGGGTTCGATGTATAGGTTTGCAATTTTTTGCATGCTCTTTTCTTCATAATTTTAGGACATTAGCTTGTCTTACAATGTTCCCTAAGAAGCATTTTTTGGGTGCTCAAAAAAGGAGAAAAGTAAAAGAAAGCAATATGGAAATTCAATTAGAGAAGGGTTCTTATTTGAGGTAATCGTGTCAGTTTCATTTTGCTATCTTTTAGTCTTTCTGTCGTAATATGGCATTGTCCAAGGTTCCAACAATTATTATAGCCATCTCAAACTAAAAATGTATGTTTGAAAGTTTACTCTTAATATTATGAAAATTGAGTTAGATATATTTGTTTGTGTATCACGCACACACATACACACATATATACGGTCTTAGGACTTAGGGCCCTATGTTGCCGAGTTCGCCCTAGGGCCTTCTGAAACATAGAGTCGGCCCTGCCCATAAGAAGATGGTGTGAATTAGCACACCCCCCCCCCCCACACACACACACGCGCACACACACACACCCCGCATGCAATTCGAGATACACCGTGTGGTCTCCCTAATGACACTCCAAATAAACCTTGCAATGATGCATCTAAATAGGATATGTTCGCAAGTTCCATCTTGGCCGCAACAAGTACACTTGCTGTCTTCTGTCCCTTTCCCTTTGATCACTTGATCACCACTACAAATTCGGTTCCTGGCAACTTGCCAAACAATTTTTATTTATTTTGGAAGAAATCTTCATCTTCTAGATATCCATCACCTCACCTTGTGTATCCGTCTTAAAAAATTCTCTGTATAGGAATCCCATGGAAAATTGGCCCAAAGGTTCCAACTTCCAAGAAATGTTGTCGTCCCCGTTGGTTAACCTCACTCCGGCTAGCTCATCCTAGAGGAGGTCCCAATCCACCACTTCCAAGGGCCCAAACGATTGCTAGAACAAGGTAGTCCATTTGTCATCCACCTTGACCTCCACTTCTTTTGGATTGTGCCTAATGACAAAGAGTCATGGGAATCTGTGTTTAAGGGACCCCTCCCCGAGTTCTTTTACCCAAAACCACCACATTATGGGCTAGGGTAACAGATCAGTACCACATTTGAGGCAGGGCACAAAAAACCACCAACAATGGGGCTAATCTGTAACGCGGAGCACTGACGCTGCGTTTTAGCCCAGAAAACAGCAAAACCGGCAGGTGGGGCCTGCCTGTCGGGATGATGTGGGAAAAAAAACTTCCACGCGGGCAGGTTGACTAGTCTCTTTCTCCTCTCTCTCTCCTCTCTTCTCGCGCCAGGGGGCTGGATGCATGTGGCCGTCGCCCACGTGCCGCCAACGTTGGGCGAGCCGTCGTGAAGCACGACGTCGAAGGCGGTGACCCCCTTGGAGTCCATGAGCCTCCGCACGGCGGAGCGACACTTGGTGGTGGTGATGTCCTCCGTGAGGGAGTGCGCGCCGCGGACGGGGCGGATGGGCATGAGGTCCACGCCGACGAGGAAGGCGCCGACGGGGGCACGGGCGACGACCACCTGCATCCAGCCC